ACTACTACTACTACTAACTACTACTTCTACTTCTACTACTTACTACTTACTACTTACTACTAACTACTACAGTAACTACTAACTACTAACTAGTACTAGTACTAGTACTAGTACTACTACGACTACTACTACTACTACTACGACTACTACGACTACGACTACGACTACTACCACTACTACCACTACTACCACTACTACTACTACTACTACTTCTACTACTACTACTACTTCTCAGTCCCAAACGCTTTTGTCAGGCGTGACACAATTCACTCTCCCTCGATTGTTTGCGGAGGGGACTCGTTTTACTATTTAAGATCGGACTTTACTAGGCTGTCTTCACACAAATATCCTTGCGAAGGCCCTTGGTCTTTACATGTATTTAAAATAGGATAATGTACTCAAAGACTTGGCCCGGCTATATATATATATATCTATTTATATATATATAGTGGACTTGAGTTAACATCACTTCACTCACCGATTTCATAGCTACTGCTACGAACATGAATGAACAGAAAAGACAAAAAAAAACACACACACTAAGACTCGTGCACGCCTTTCCGCTGACTGGAGACCGGACAGCCCAACTGTAGAGTAGACCACAACGTTCCATCAAGGTGTGAGAGAAGTTATTTCTCCACTACTTCTCGCGCGCTCGAATGTGAGCTTGCGATTGCTTCTTCATGCTTCTTCGTTCAACCTTCCACTTTCCCTCTCAAATGACCCTCAGGCTGGCAAGGTCGACCAAACCATGCAATATCATACATGCGAATCGCGATCTAGTCACAGTCATTCATCCCCTACACCTCCGGCTCCAACCATATCCCCTTGGCACCCACCCCAACCACCTGGCCACAGAAGGTGGTTGGAGCCCTAGGGTCCCTAAGGCATCTGAACACTCTGTACGAGACCCGTTCCGCAACCCTCCGAGTCGATGATATTGGTCGGTCCAGTGTTCGCAGTGCTTTGGGTTTTGGCGCCGGTGACGATTCCTCTCGGATGTTCGCCAAAAACAAGGACGAACAAACATGAAAACAAACAAACAGCACTTAACAGCACCCATTGGATGATCTGAACACCAAGACCAAGAGCGACACCCGCAAACGTCCCCCAGAAACACAGCCCAGTCACTGGTTGTGACACAAGATCTCCTTCGCCTCCTCAATCCTCGGGCGAAAGGGGTTAGATGGGCGATGCCCTTTGTTACTAGTAGCTTCTTGTTACTACAGGTGAAACGATTCCCAGTGAAACGATTCCCAAGGGGATTCTAGTTACTAGTAGCGGCCTTGTTCCTACTAGTAATGTCAGGACGTGTCCACCAGTCGGTTTTGTCGCCATGACCCCGAACTCGAGCCGGTTTCTGGCATCTCTTTTCGGCGACGGCACAAGGGGCACAAGGCATGCGATCTGGCATGCAATCTGGAGAATTCAATGTGTTTTCGACTGGCATCTGTTACTGTGCCAGAGGACCAATGTGAGAACCCAATGTTATGCAAGAGGACTGTGAGTAACACATGTTTGTTGTCTTTTTCAGAACAAACAGACTCTGTGCTGGAAATATGCAATCCTATCAGGACCGATCCCATGCAGGATCATGAGCTTTGGTGTCCGGATGAAACGACAGGAAAACCAATGACTGCCTAGTTGACCCTCCTCTGGGAGATCGAGCCCCGAACATGAAGAAACGGATACGGCATCGAGAACACAAACATCAAACATCCACACCAACAGCAACGAACGCAACCACCTGGCAGCATGACCTTGTGAAGAATAGGAATTGCTGCAGTGATTTCAACAAAGTAAGTGTTTTGTGAGAAGAGACCTCTTCTAATCCCTGTTAGTTCCACCCAAACCAAAAACATCCAAAAACAAACACCATCCGGTTTGTTCAGCTGGGTCGACATCGGCGAACCCTCTTCCCGAGCCACGAGAGGACCTCCTCCAACTCCTCGGCCTGCCGCGCAGCTATCCGCGCCCAGGGTTGGGATGATCCCGGAGGTTGGCCCCTATGGATCCAACGAAACGGTAAGGCTGGACGCGGGTCCTGGCTGGCGCCTACATAAATAGTCTCACTGCTCACCGTACCTCAGGTAAGGTGCCAGTGGATCCAGAACGAAGCGGGACAGGAATGGCCACATGGAATTGGTCCAGCCTGGTTTCTTCGATTCTATATACGTGTATTTTTTGCGGCACCGACTGTCGGACTGTCTCTAACAGTACACACGCTGTAACACCACTTACGCAACAAAAGTTAGAACATCACATTATAGCGTCCGTTGCATGTGAATGGCTATGTCAATACCTAATCCTTCCCTGCGATATGTGGTGCACGGTCGGCGTGAGATGAGTATTTACCGCTGCTAAAGGATGTTATGCCTTGCCACTTGCCACATCATAGCAGAAAGCACTGGGAACCACCATGCAAGCACGTGCAACGGACAAAACATTAAAGAAGTAATTGGTAGATTGAAGTAAAGATTGTCAAACTGCCAGTATAGGTAAGTTCCTTTTTATTTTGATTTAGACCATAACTTAAGGACACTGGAAGGGGATCCCGTTTCCAATGTGTGCATTCTTGGATAATTGCGCAACCAAAGGCTTGCGGGTTTGAAGACACAACTGGCTACAGCAACACGATGCAACACGGCATACATCGTCAAGACTGGTGCTTAGTAAGGAATAAGGGAATGGATCCTGAGGAATCTCTATTTGGAGGTCATTCCCACATTCCCTATTTTTGTAGCCCCGGTCAGTTTCAATGTGGCTGTGGGTCAAAACCAGCCCTAAATCCTGGTGGATTGACATCACTTATGAAGTCATCTGTTCATTTTCAACAACCCAGTTGCGGGGTTTTGACTCTGAACGGCTGTTGGCCGCCCGTCAGCCGCCCGCAGATGGCCGCCATCGACCCCCACGGCGCCCGCAGAAAACGGTTTCGTCCTCCAGCTCACAGCCAGCGAGCTCTGCCAGCGAGATCTCTGGCATCTGGCCGCGACGAAGCTCGAACTGATGATTTTGGTCAGTTACTCCAGCTTCGAAGATGTGGTCGACAAAGAATCTGTGATCCTTTGGACCCTCTTTCGATCGAACACCACTCTGTTGGCTTTGGCTGACAAATGAGAACGTATTCTGTCACCTACCCGCAGGACACTGGGTGTACACTACGGCGTATAACAATGTGCGAGACTGAATAACACACCAAAATTCTCAAATGACTTTACGGATCAAAGCACAGGAATGCAAGGCATCCGGAATGTGCAGTAATGTGGTAAGCCAGGCGGTTTTAGCATTCTGGTGTTGGGCACGAGATATGAATTAAAGGCTTCCTGTGCTCATTGCTCTTGCAACTACTATGCAGCCGTAATATGACAGACATACGTAGCAAGATCCCCTGACCCGTGCCTTGGTACTCCACGTGACGAGCTGATCAATGAAGAAACTGATTCGCTGCTCTCGACAGCCATTGTTCGGCTGCAGCCAACACACAACAACAATGATCAAAAAGGTATCAGTATGCTGAAACCAAAGGGTCTCCAACTCAAGCTACTCTGGTGCAAACTTTGGAATTGTAGGTCAACCAACTTGAGAATGCTTTCTGATGAATTTGGTCGAATTTGGTGTCCACTTCTGAAGACCCAGACAACCTTTAAGGAAACCTGCTGGCTTTCTTTTCAATCGCCTGAGGAATTCAGCTAAAGCGGTGATAGTTGCTATGACCAGCAGCAGCAGCAGCAGCGGCAGCAGCAGCAGCAGCAGCAGCAGTTTATGATCTACTTCAATATGGGCCAGTTCCATGCTCAATCAAGACTGTATTTCCCCAAGTGTCCAAATGATCAAATTTGAAACAGAGGAAGTAAAGTATGACCACCCAAACCCTGCACTATCTGGTAGTTCCAGTGGCTATATAGAGCAGCCTGCTCCGTCTGTCGGGTGAAAACCCGTGCCTCGTCTTCACTCTCACGGCTGCCACGGGACAGGCCTAGCAGATGTCTGTCGAGTCAGTCGTGTCGCAGCCCGGAGCGGCAACAACGGAGTTCAAGGGAGTAATGGTGACTTTCACCTGGTCGAGTTCACCTGCAACAGACTGGATGGCTGTAATTTGTCACTCAACCATCCATAGCTTGGTGCCGTGGTAGCTCACGCAAACGTCCAAGCTGCAGAAAGGCTTGAGTGGAAGATGGGAGTAGGGTGGGAGTGGAGGACAAAACACCAGGATCTTTGTAGAACCTCCCACCAAAACCGGGAAAAAGTCATGGAAACTGTGGGAAAGTCGGCTCCTGGGTTGGTAGGTCTCAATCTATCACAATCTACCGATATTTATCGGTTTTGTAGTACTGACGGGAGATCCAAAGCATACCCAAGACACGTATCAGCACCCAACTCGACGGACTTCATCAGTTTTCTCTAACTCGAGGGAGGGTGGGTGCTGGTATAGTTGTATACAATCTATCCACTATAGGTACTATAAACGATACTGTAATCCCTCCTCCAAACAAAAACATCTTAAAAAACTCGGTCTGATTTGGCTCCAAACAATGACCCATCTAGATCGCCTTCCGCTGGGTCTCTCAGCCGCTTTTCTGGGTGCCCCGGGCTACGAACCACGCCCAGCCAGCCACGGCCCGCGGCTGCCTGGAGCAGCGCCGGAAGCTCCTGCGTGCCGAGGACGGGGAGGACGGCCGCGGAAGCCCCCAAAAGGATCGGACGAAGTCAAACGCTGTGGATTCAAAGCTGGTTTGTATTTTGGGAGATTCTTTGGAACTACATCGCACAATTACTTTCGACTTGGTCAGGACAGGGGGCACTATACATGTTAATCGGATCCTTAAAAGTCAGGACTGAAAAAGCCTCCTCGCAGGGTCACCGTTGTGCACGGGGTGTTCATTGATCGGTCCTGGTTGAGCCCAGTGACCAGTGCTTTGGCGCAAAGCAAGAGCCTGACGGGTTCTCCGTCACGCGACATGTTCGCCGAACCGTCAATCGCCTCGAAAAAATCGCCAAGACTTGGCCGGACTGCACAACCGTAAGTGAAGAGATATGTAGAAACCTAGGACTTTTCCGCTGGAGCATGGACCGGATTGATCAGATGCAGAAGTCGAAGTGAGCATTGATGAAGAGCTACTGGCGGAGAGCCACTAGCAACATGGCTAGAACTTAGAACCGTGTGTTTTGAGGGGCCTACATCTTCGAGAGCTAATGCCACTGCAACCACATAGGATGCATGGGCTGGGTGCATGTCCAATTACAAGGATCGGTCTGTCCCTGCTTGCTTCTGTTCACTATCCCGATCCAAACAAAAGAGTCCGGAAGGCCGTGGTCATGCACCTTTTTAGTACGGATTATTGTATCAAATCATTTCACATCCGTAAACCCTGTTCTTCAATTTGCAACACTTTGACTCTGCAAACGCAAGGGAGGGACTCATGAATGTAGTACTACTTTTGACTTGGGACGACCTGAGTTTCAGGATGAATTGTACTTCTTGGAGAGTGAGAGGAAGGTTTAAGGAAAACAAAGTTGGCAACAAAGTCCGGGCAAACCTTGTTGTAGGTCTCGGGCCTCGGGCCAGGAGGAAAGTTGCCAGAAGAGTCTTCATCGGTGCCTTTGGTACTTTTGATATGTTTGACCGTTTGGTATGTCATGGTATTTCTGGCTTTCCTTTAAGGTCCCCAGGAGGTCCCCAGGAGTAATCAATAGTCATCATACTTTCTGAGGCGCCTTTTTTACTCCACCCGTCAAAACTGAGGTGCAAAAAAATGTGCTTGAGACATCCAGCGGAATATGGAGGTCTGATTCATAAACCACCCCTGCATAAAGCCAAACGTCCCCGAGAAAGAACATACAGTAGTTTATGAGAGGTGGACATTCATTTTTGGGCTAGCATTCAGATCTTCTTGACTTGTGTTATCTCCCATAAGAGAATACTTATCTGTATTGATTTGCTGAAACTCTAACAAATTGATGGTCTCTACCGTGCTGCCCCATTGATGGTTCAGTGATCTCTGGTTGAGTTCTATGTCCAATACATCCTTTGGTAGCGTTCGATTTCAATTTGCATCTCTGTCTTGTGTGTTTTGCTCATTCGTTTTCGCGGAAGATCTCAGCTGTGATTTGCATGCTGCTCCATGGATGTTTCATGCATTTCTCTTTGGACTTCAATGGCGGTCCAATTTTCATGTGCGGTAGTTTCCACTAAAATTTGATAGATTTTGCTTATCACTCATCACTTATCACTATCGAATGGTTGGTTGCTGAATCCAATCCAAAACCTTCTGGTGAAAAAACATTCTGCATGAAGTGTGTACTGTACTCGAAGTTACTCTGACACTGAATGACTCTGACCCAACAACAAAGTTAAGGATGTTGGAATGGGGATCTAGAAACTCCTTTAGCTTTGTATTGATAGTTTGAATCCAATACTGATCAGAAAGTCTGCCCCAATGTGCTTGATCGTTCATCCTATTGATTCGTTCCTCGATCCCAGCAGGTTGCACGCTGGACTGGTGTTCGACCCTGTGCTTCTCAGGGGATTTCTGTGCACTAGTTGATCCATTCACGAAAAAACGCGTGACTCATGCTTGGTTTTGCATCACACCCGTTGAAACACCTATATTGTATCATATCATCGCATTCAACACATCAAACATAACGATTTGACCTTCTGCTGCAAATGGGCGCAGGCAACATGTACGTCAACTTTGACTCCGACGTCGCAATTCACAGCCCTGCAACTGCATAGTTCAAATCCATCCGTTCTACATAGTTCTAATCCCCGACTGCGACCCGGCACTTCACCCATCAGTTGTCTCTCCCCTGGTCAAGTCGGTTTTTGAACCCATTCCGCTCGGAAAACTGCAGAAAACCCCAGGAGTGGGACTCGTTCCAGCCTCCCCTTGGGCACATCTTCAGTAACATAAAGACCGCGACCTGGCCAATCGATGAGGACTCAGTGTGGGTAAAGGCAACCCAACAATGTCAATAAATTCAGTTAATTAGACATATTGTCTACATAAACAAATGATAAACAATACATGAACATATGGCAATTGGAAAGTACGACAAATGAACAACTTATCACATATACTTATCACATCTTATCACGCACTGATAGACTCTCTCTCTCTCTTTATCTCTCTGTGTCACTCATTATGCCTGCTTAGTCTTGCTTGGTGTGGCCTACCTGATCTCCCTGATCCTGTGGCCTCGCTCCTCGCTATGGCCCAGCCGCACCTGGTGTTGGGCTTGCGCACAGAAAACACACCCCTCGTAACTGGACCGTGTCTATTGTGATCACCTGGACCACCAAATTGCCCAAAACAATTGATCCTCAACGCGATCCAATCGCGCCCCCCGACTGTTACTTTGAGCCGCCTTTTTGAACTCCTCAACAAAGAGTCACCAATGGTCACTATATATATATATCTACATGGAAAAATACACATAATGTATAATTCAAACACAAAACAGTTGAAACACGTTAAAGCATGGGATGCATCTCTAAACATTTTGGGCATACATTTTAAACACTACAATGTACCACATTTTTTAAATTGTGTCTATTCCATTATACTCATGTATCTACACCGCAATATACCACAGCTTTGATACTTAATGACAAACGAAAAAATAAAAATAAAATACAGAAACAACGTCTTAAAGACGCCTTCCTTCATTCTGAGTGAACGACCTCTGGGGCCCGGCACCGGACCAACGAAGGGCTCCACCGCCAAAGGGGCGATCACAGCCTCGCGTCAAGCGGCTGGGGCATGTCGGTTCCATGGTGCTGTTCTACTTTTTCGGGGCGGGCTGGAAGGAGGGGAAGATAGGTAAATGATGGGAAAATGAATATGTTTTATTTTAAACGTTTGCTAAGTGGCTTTGGTTTGCTTTTGGGTTTGTGGGTGCCAGTGGTGTTCGTTTGCTTGAAAGGGGTTCTTAGATTGGGCTCTGCCCCGGTACACTAACAGTGACCACAAATCATACCAGAAGAAAAAAACACAGCAATATAGCCACAGTTTGCATCAGGATGACTTTCGTTAATTACAGTGGTGGTACATGCACACACCCTCAAGTACATCGGAGGCCTCTTGCCTCTTTCCCATTCGAAAGCCACAAGTGAGCATCCAAAGCATGTCGTCTTTTGGATGGTCTTTACAGTTGAAATACTCTAGACTCTAGGACCCTACGCTATAACAGTAACACTAAAGCATATTATATATATATATGTATATAAATATATGGTATACGCATTTGTACATATATATGCATTTGTACATTTACGAAGTAAGCCACAGAGACGAACTGTCAAACAGTCAACGGCTCAAACCGCTCCAGCTCGCTGTCATCAACTTGGACCTCCTGGGCTTCTTTCGATTCTTGGCTCAATAGGCTCAAGGTGAAGACCGGCAATTCACATGCTCTTGGCCGGATGATTTTACACTTGTCCCCCACTTGTTTCCCGTGCGTCTATACGAATCTGCAGAATCTCAGTACACCATTCACCGATAGTTTGGCTGATGGTAGCGCCCAGAGAAAAGAACATGAGCTGCTGCCAAAGAAAACGAGCTGGGCGGAGCTGGGCTTGACGGGCAAGTCTAGTAAAAGGAACAGAAGCACCAAAAGAAACACAACTCAAGACTCAAACCACCAAAGAAATGACAAACAAAACACAAAACTGACCACAACATTGTGCGTTTTTTGTGTTTGTGTGTGGTCTGTTTTGTGTTTTTGTTGGTTCTTTTGTGTGGTATGATTTGTGTTGTGTGGACTGGTTTGTGGTCGCATTTGTGCTTATTTTTTGTGGTATGCATTGTTGCATGTTTGTGGTATGATTTGTGATTTTTTGGTGTTTTTTGGGTAAAATTTGTGGGCGTTTTTGTGTTTCTTGTGGTATGACTGTGTTTTTTGTTGTTGTTTTTGTGGTATGATTTGTGGTTGCGATTGTGTTTTTTCGTGGTATGACTCGTTTTTTGTGGTATGATTTGTGGTCGCGTTTGTGTTTTTTGTGGTATGACTTGTGCTTGTGGTTTGATTAGTGGTTTTTGTGGTATGACTTGTGGTTTTGTTGCCTTTTTTGTGGTATGATTAGTGGTCGCATTTGTGTTTTTTAGTATGACTTGTTTTTTCTTGTATTTTTGTGGTATGATTTGTGGTTGTGGTCGTTTTTGTGCGTGGTATGATTTGTTTTTTTGTGATATGATTGGTGGTCCAGGGCTGAAGAAAAGCACAAATCAAACCACCATAAAAGGCATTTTGCTTAAACAGTTTACGGTTAAGTTTCGCAATTCTTTCTTAAGATGTGTCCGCCCATTCTGTCACTGCTGGTGTCCGCCCTTTTCCGCTGGCCATGCAGCATTTCTATTCATTTGTCTCCCATGTGATTTCTTTATGTACTTTTGTCTCCCAGGTTCGGTGCCTACACTGCTGGTGTCCGCCCTTTTCTGCTGGCCCTGCACTGCTGGTGTCCACCCTTTTCCGCTGGCCATGCAGCATTTCTATTCATTTAATTTGCTTTCCAAGTGATTTCTTTTCTTCCCCAAACAGGCTACTGTTAGGAGTTCTCAATGCTTTCTAAGGGTGTCGGTCTCGCTGCGGGACAGGGTGTCCGCCTTCCATCCGGCTTGTCACCCTCTGGTTGGTCATTGTGTCCGCCTTGTCTCCCTCCTGTCTCCCTTTGTCTCCGGGCTTGTCTCCCTTCTTGTTGGTCACTGTCTCCCTTCTGTCTCCTTTTGTCTCCCTTCTTGTTTTCCTTCTTGTTGGTTACCGTGTCCGCCTTGTCTCCCTTCTTGTTTTTCTTCTTGTTGGTCATTGTGTCCCCCTTGTATCCCTTCTTTCTCCCTTCTTGTCTCTCTTCTGGTTGGTCATTGTGTCCGCCTTGTCTCCTTTCTGTTCCCCTTTGTCTCCGGTCTTGTCGTTCTTCTTATTGGTCACTGTGTCCGCCTTGTCTGACTTCTGCTTCCCTTTTCTCTTTTCTGTCTCCTTTTGTCTCCTCTGTTGCAGTCCTTTACATGTCTCCCAGCTCCGGACTGCCGCGTCCGCCTCTCGCTTGCAACGCTTCACATTTGTCTCCCAGCTAGCTCTGGACTCTGCCCTACAATCCTTTACATTTGTCTTCCTGTGTCTACATTTGTCTCCCAGCTCTTTACATTTCTCTCCCAGCGCTGGGCTGCTGTGTCCGCCGCTGCCTTGCAATCCTTTACATGTGTCTCCCAGCGCTGGGCTGC